AGAAGGGTCTAAATGCAATTAAAACTTTTTCTTGTTAGACGTTTCAAAGGCAGTGTTCACAATGCTAAGATACTTGGTAACTTGCATGGGTCTTACTCATTTTTAATATATACTCATTATTTCTTTGAACACCATATGCCGTTTTGAGAGTTGTTTTTTTTTAAACCACTTGCAGCACTATTATAATCTCTTAAAACTTCCTTATACCTGATTTTATTCTGGATAGCCAATGTTCTACGACTGTTTTGTCTTGAATTCCTACAGGCAAAAGCTCTGTGCTGCTTCTTACAGTGTTCACCTTCCCAAGATGTTTCTACCAACTTAACTCTGTTGTTATGATTGATCTCTTGAGTTACTCAGCTTGTACTGACAGTGGTTGCCAGTTTTTACATCTAGAGGTCCAGCAGAGAAAGGATTGCTGATGCTTTTGGGAAACAATCTATATGATTAGATTAATTCCTGTGAGAGTTTCTTCTCTGAGTATTTGTATTGCACACTAGAGTTCCAGTTTTAGGTTGGATTCTTTGAGACTTTTCTTGAGATTGATTAAATTTGCAATACCATTGGGTGGATCACTTTGTAAGGTAATGCAGGAATAATGGATGCCTCCATTTCCAAATGTTTAAAATTAAATTGTCTCTGGTTTTTAAAAATGAATGTTGCATACTTATATTTAGAATGAGTAATAACCCAGAACCTAATGATAAAAGAGGAAGCATCTGGTAATTAAATAGGAAGAAAATACTTTAACAAAGGCAGAGCATATGTGAAGTTCTTCATCTTTTTGAAGATTTAAACACTGCAGAGGTACAAGAAGAAAACAAAAAAAAACACAGCCAAAAAACAAGCGCAGACCATTGTGAGTGAAAGCTTTGACAATTGGTTTTGTGGGTTTTCTTTGGTTTGTTTGTTTTGACTCTAGGTGAAGCCTGTGGTCACAAGATCCTTTCAAGAAAACTTATTATTTTAATGAGTAGGACCAAATAACAAAGCTGTAAATTAGAGTACTCATCAGAATTGGTTTCCGACAAGGCTAGGTATAATCTCTTTGGAGTGTTTACTCTTTTGGTCTGTGTCAGCAATAGAAGTGATGTGAAATTCTATGTCTTGGGAATAACTCTTCATGTATAAGTTGTCTGGCAATGCCTCTTCACTGCTTGGATTGGTAGGCTTCAAAGTGTTTGCTTTCTGGCAAGAAAAGAAATTCAGTTAAGATAATGGCAGGCAGTTATCTCCCAGGTTCTAATGGAAAAATTGAACAGTAAATTTATGTTCTAAGACTTTACAGCTGAGATCTACATTAACGAGGCTTTTGGGGGAAATACTGTAGAGGATTAAGCCAGTCACGAGCATATCTCAAGGATGTGAGGAAGGAGAACTGATTTTGTAATGTGCAAACCATTCAAAAAAAGCCTGAGTTTGGCAGTTTGCTAATAGACTTTTTCAGGTTTTAGCAATCTGTCCAGGTTGCTAAAATCAAAGTAATTTAATTTTAATTGTGACTTAAGAGCCAGGCTATCATCTGTGCTTTTAACCTTGTGTTGGAAAAGAGCTAATATTGAGTGCTTATAAACAAACGGTAGCAGGATATGGTAAATAGTACTCATAGGCTATCATTAAATATAAATGTATTTTGAAACAATGGAGTGAAGGACAATGTTCTTTAAGATTATGAATGCTAATACTTGAAGGTACTGCTTCAAGTGTTTCATTTTACTGTCTGCCAGCCAGGTGGAATTGCCAGTGTTTTTAGATCTATTATGGCAATTTTTTTTTTTTTATTTCCCTTCAGTATCCTCTTCTTCCATTTGAGTTTACTAATCAGTTTTAGGTGGTAAAGCATATTAAACGTATGACCTTCCTGTACTTATTTATCCCTTTGATCTAAAACTAATTTGGATTATGGCAATTTCACTTTTTGATTCTCTTTTGTTGCTTTTTCCCTTTTTAGCTCCTCCCTCTATCTTTCTTGCAGTCTGAAGTTTACTTGTTGAATAGTTCTGCATGGAGAAAGTCACCTTTCTGTAGTTTGCAGCAAGACCTTAGATGAGTCTTTTCTGCAAAGCAGAGCCCACAGACAATTAAAAATAGATTATCAACTTGTGGTTTACAATGTAGATGTTAAACTAGGGTCTTTTGGTTATCATCCCAATAAACTTGCACTTGTTTTGAAATATCTGGGCAGTCTGTTACTCCCTGTCCCCTGAACATTAAGTGTATTTAATGGATCACCTAAATAGAGAAATACTGTGTGATGAGTCATTAGTCCTGCCTTCTGGTGTTTACATATCCAAATGTTGCTCTTTTGGCCAGTGAGCTTGGGGCCAGGTGAATAATCCAATCAAGCATTCTAAACTGAAGAATGCAAAACACTTTCACTGCTTATGGAGTTTCTACTCCTTTGTGACAGTGGAGAAACACGTTTTCACTCAGTTTTAGTGGATTTAGCCAGCCTCAGATTCTTAATATGCTTTAAGATACCTTTAAAGAACTTTTGCTGGTTGATTGTATTGAAGCTTACTGCTTGATCCTATTTAGAATGAATCAAGACGATGACTGATATTGTTATCAAGTTGTAGTGCCTAGAAACAAGGAACAAAACTCTTTGAATTTCAGTGATGATTCTGTTGCAGTTTGTAATTTTTATGTTCATTACTTATTTATTTTAGTTATTTATTTTTCTTAAGGAGGAGAATGTACTATACAACATTTATTTTGTAACCTGAAGGAATAATAGCATTTGGAATAATGGCAACAGGAGACCTAAAAGGAAGTTTAAGAAAAATTGAACAAGGACTTCGCTTGTTAAATTATCCAAGAGATGTGGATTATACAGTGTAGGTGACACTGAGAATAAATTTATCTTAAGACATGATGACAACAGGATGTGTAAACAATATATGTATAAATATTAGCATTGCACCCAGTGATGAGTAAGCAGAGCATATGTCTGTGGGAAGCTGGAGTTTAATACATGTGAACTGGAAGATAAAGGGATGCAATTTTGTCTTCTGAGCAACTGTTAGAATAATCCTGAAGTGTGTCACAGTCTTACTCTTGTTTCTTCTGATTTTTATTCTCTGTTTAATCTCTTACCTTTATAAGTGCTAGCAAAGCCTTCACAAAATTTCATCCTGTAAAAATAAAAAAAGTGTTGAATATTTAAATGGAATTGCTGGTGGGTGTTAGACCTGACAATGTTACAATTATATGAGGGTCGCAAAAATGTTGTTCTGAGCATTTTACAGATAACAGTAAAGACTGCTGAATGACATATGCCTGGGGAAAAAAAAACCCAAACCAACTTAAAATGAAGGTGATGCTTGTATATAATATGTTGGCTGTATTAAAACGCCTTTCAACTTAAATGTGTGAATTCTTATAAGAAAAGGCTTTTGTTATCTCCTGCTGTGTAAAATATTTTTGTTTCTCAATAGGTTGGTAAAGGGTGATCCAGCTGCATTTTTACCTATCATCAGCTATGCTTTTACATCTTTTTCAACTTACATAGCAGAACTTTTGGTGAAGTGTGATGTGGAACTCACAGCAAAGAGTGACTTGCGATTTATTGAAGCTATTTATAAGGTATCTGTCTTCATGTCCCTTGCAGAAGAGTTTTCAGTATGGCCTCACAGAAATTAAACATCCAGTATGAGTTTTACTTAAAAGTGAAAATTCTTGGCAATGAACATGAATTGTAATTCTTAGGATTTAAGATGACTAGTAAGTCAGTGCATGGCAAGTCTTTATTTAGGTTTTCATGAAAATAAAGATGAATTTTGTCAGCCAAATCTCAGTTTTGTGACAGCTGCAGAAATATTATTTTATGTTAGTGTTGAAGAATATCAAAATACTTATTACACAACAAGTTGTATAGAAATTAGCTTAGAAGAAAACATAACCAGCAAAAAAACTATAGCAAACTTTAATAGTGGTAACGAAAGTCCAATTAAGAAATACAGCTTTTTTAAAACACCATACCATACTAATATATAAAGTTTAATGCTTGATAGTTTATACATTGGAATCACAGTCTTAACGGAATGAAAATAATTCAGCACTATCCTTGAAAATACCCAAAAGCACATTTTTTCTAAGAAGTGGCTTGATGTATTAACAAATACTAGCTTATTCAGACTAGTTTTCCACCTGAGGAGGACAGAGATTCCTTTGCAAAAGGGCTCTGTGGAAGCCTTTATTGGTTCTCTGACATATTTACTGAGATTAATGCAACTTTTTATTGGGCATTCACTCTGGAAAGTTTTTGATTTAACTTTTGAAATGTTAATGTCTACAGTAATTTCTTTTATGATTCTAATCTTTACAAGAGCGACATGAATGAAGTGGAAGAGGTAGGTTGAAAGTCTAGTTAGAACAAAAAGCTGAGAATATATGATTAACCAAATGAGAAAAGGTTCAACTGCTGAAGTACAGAATGAAAGAAGAGGGTGTAGAGAAATAAGGACCTAAACATGCCATTTCTACCACAAACTGCATGGTGATTTAGAAAGTGAAGTGAGCTCTTACTTTTTTGCAGCTTCTTCGAGATCAATTTCAATATAAACCAATTTTAACAAAACAGCAATTTCTTCAGTTTGGCTTTGCAGAGAGAAAAATGGAGATTGTTTGTGACATCATCAACTGTGTGGTGAAAAAACATAAGGAATTAAGTAACTCGAATAAGGTACATGGTAACTTTACTGTAAGTTTTGTTTGACCTGACTGAGGCTGCAGATAGAAGCTGAAGACCAGTTTATTTGAAGATGCAGTGTTGCTGAGAGTCAGAATGGGGGGAAAATGAGTATGAAGTTCCATTGTAAGATGACAATGCTGCCAGTGCTTTGTTGTATGAACAAAATTGTAGTGAAGGTAGTGCTAGTGCTTGTTATCTTTACAGAAAGATCTATTTTCTTTTATACTTCTCATCATAGCGAACGTTTCTGTAGCTCGAGAGACTTTGCAAGTATATTTAAAAACAAAACAAAACTGTCTGATATATTGAAGTTCTAGAAACATTTAATTTAAACATGATGCTTCTGTTTCAGTGGCATACATCTCAAATCTGATTATTTTAATTAATTATATTTTATACTGTTAAGGCATTATTTGTTATCAGTCTATGCTGTGTATCAATCTGCTTTAATAAAATCATTAGTCTTAGTGTTTTCATAGAATCATAGATTTCATAGAATTAGTGTTTTCGTAGAATTTCATAGTGTTTCATAGAATTAGTGTTTTCCTAGAATTAGTGTTTTCATAGAATCACAGAATGGCCTAGGCTGAAAGGGACCTTAGAGATCATTTAATCCAACCTCCGTCACGGGCAGGGACGTCTCCCAACTAGATCAGGCAACACATGGGGACTGAACGGGGATTGAACCCGCGACCTTGGTGTTAATAGCACCACGTTCAAACTAGCTGAGCTAACCGGCGGTTTTGTTTGCATTTGTAACAATCTTCAGGGCTTCTGTACCCTTCATTTGTCACTTTTGGGGCATAACTACATTATTTTTTTGTATTGTATTTCCACTTCAATGCAAGTTATCTTTTCTACTTATGACTGGCTTTCATGCAGCCTTGCACAGGCTTTAATGAGCATATGAATACAGCATCTTTTTCCTCTGTATATTTAGGTCATTCCTAATTATTTTTGTCTGTATTGTTATCGTACTGCAGAGGTTTAAACGTGTTTGTGTGTGTACCATGCAATACTCTTGCCTGTTAATTACGAGCAAAAAATGAAGTGTGTCATCCTGTCCCCATGCTGACCCCCCTCACCCTGGAAAATATTTCTGTGCTAGAAGCATAATATTTTCCTCTCTTCACTTTGAAGGCTAAATCCAAAACGAAGAAAAAACTCAGATCTTTTAAATATGAAGTATGGTCAAATTGTGGTAATGTCCTTGCTGATCCTAGTGGCAGTGCTCTTAATTCCAAACAGGTATGAAAACAGTTCTTATGTTCTATGTCTAAAGATTAATCTAATTTGTAGCAAGTCAGGCTCTTTCTGAAATATGTGCTTTCCTGTAGGTTATAATGCTTGATAAGACCAGATGGTGAGGGGTTGTTTTTTGGTTTCTCAAACTGTGGTTGGCTGAAATAGTAGCTGAAATATAGAAGTTGTTGCTTCTTTCTCTTACTGAGTAGCTATCTCAAAGTCTTGGTGGTAATGATCTTGTACCATTGTTTGCTATTTGAATTATATCAAATGGAGGGACAGCAATGAAAATGAAGATGCAATTAGAAAAAGAATACACATCCTGTTTGGAGATTGAAGTATGTTTGGCCTAACATTGCAGTGTTTTCAATGTAATTTTCACTTTTTGCTCTTTTATCTGAATCTGTTCAGCAAAGATTTCTTAACGTAACATTCCTTAATTTTACGAGGGTAATGCATGATCTTATGTATTCTGCTACTCTTGGCCAACGGAGGAGATAGCTTTCTTAATATTTTTCTGCTAAAAATGTTAAATTCTACAAGCTCTTAGGACTTTGCCTGCCCCTTAAGTGTTGCTTTTAGCAGTGAGTAAAAACTTCATGAAGAAAGTAATCAGAATCACTTCTCTGGCACTTCTTGTTGTTGAATAGTAGAACTCAATGGGGGATATTTGTGAGTGTATTAAGAATTCTCTAGGAGAGGGGAGTTTTAGCTTCACTAAAATATCTAGGAATCTGTAGCTGTTAAGATGCTGTACAAAACTAGTAATTGTGGATTCTGAATTATTAGGCAATTTATTTTGTTTTGTGGGAGATAATGATCATAAGACTTAATCCACCTGAGAGGAAAGGCAACATTTGTCTCTTATTTTGTTCTTCCTAAGGGAAGCATTCAAAGGAAATTAGAAGTAGGGCTATTTTGCTAACAGTTGAAGAGAGTTCTAATCTTTCTAGCTAAACTTTTTTTTTTTTTTTCCTGAGTGTTTGAGTGGTGATTTTGGTGTTGGAACTGTCTGTATATATGTTAAATACATTCAATGAGATTCACTCCTCCCAATTCACACTTAGAAAGCTAATAGCACTTACAATTCGAGCACATTAATGCCTTAATTACTTTTTATAGAAGGACACCAAAGTACACGCTACATATGGTAAAGTATGTGCGTATTTGTTTTATAGTTTTTTCATGCCTGTATGATTTTTTAAAAATTAAACAGCCCACTGTTGATTTCTGTGTTTTGCAACCAGTTGGAGTAAGATTGGCAAGCTTAAATAAACAAAGTGCTAAAATGATAGGTCTCTTTTGTCAGTTACTTGGCTGATGAATTGAAATGTTCTTGTAACAGATAATACCATTGAATTTTTTTTATTTTTATTTTTTAACATACTCAAAAAAAGCCTCGAGTAGAACGGCACTCAGGAAGTGAAGTTAATGATCTTCATCCACGACCCCTTCCAGCACAGGGAGGTAATGAAGATTTGTGCCTAGATCATGATGTTGTGGAAGTGCAGTGCGAACAAGTAAGAACTTTTATTTTAAAATGTTGTCTGTGTATTTTTAGCTTTTCTTATAGGGCTTTTCTAAAGGGATAAAGGTTTTAATGAGGTAGCTGGATGGTCCGTAAGTGTAAGTAATAGATGTGTAATAAATTATTTGAAAATTTGAAAATGGGTCGGTTGAATTGTACTGTCCTTTCAAGAGCCAGGTCTATCAACAGTTTCTTTTGAAAGCTGAACTCCAGGTGTGTTATGGCAATTCTGAAAGAAGTTTTCTAATGTAGCAGAATGTGGTTACTGAGCTTGAAGAAGATTCCACTTAATTTCTTTGATCAACTGATGAATTATTTCTGTTTTGAAATTTGAGAATATGTCTTCTTATCTATGTTTTTCAGGTCACACAGGATAATTCCGAGATTGAGTTCCTAAAGAGTCAGCTTGCTGATTGCCAGGAAAAGCTTCGCAAACTAGATTGGATGGAAGATAAACTACATGTTTTAGAAGAGAAACTGGAAGGAAAGGTGATCATAGATGAGAAGGACTGGAATAACTTGCTGAGTAGAGTTTTGCTTCTTGAAACAGAACTGTTGTTGCAATCCAAAAAGGTATGTTAATTTTCTGGTTTTCTTCTAGAATAAAAATTGCCCAGACACCATGTTGTCAGCCTCCTTATGTTCTTCCTGACTCCTGATCCATGCTTTTTTACTGTTTTAAAGGCATTATCTGAATTGTTGTGTTGTTAATGGAGTTGGGGGTATTTTCTTCGTGGCTATTAATTAAGTTCTCTTTTTTTTTTTTCCCCCTCCTGCTCTGTGAAGCAAAACTCTCCCTTGGAAGTGGAACAGCAGGTATAACTAAGCCTATTTTCATTAGGAAATAAAAAGAGTCATTACTAATGAACTTTTAGTGGGAAGCTTTTGAAGAATCTTTATTATGCTATCTTTAAATTAATTTTTCTGTAATTGTGAGTTTCATCATGCTAGCAATGCATTATTCAGAACTTTTCACATTGGCCTGCAAATGTTGCTGTTGATACAGTGAATGTCTATTTCTTAATTTTTTTTTTTTTTTTAATTCTCTAAGCTCTAATCAGATACAGATAATCCCTTTGGAAGATTGAGCCTTCATTCTATTTAAGTAACATTGACAAAAATAGATGGCATGTTAATTGAAAATACAAGATTAATGGAAAAGTTATTTCTTATTTTAGAGCTCGTCTTAGTTTGTGGTCCTGAAATTTCTACCCTAACCGATGGTCTTTCTCCTTTTTACATCCTTTTCGCTTCCTGTTTCTTGTCCATGATGTTCATTGCATTTTTAAATGTGTGAAAGTGCTACAGTTGTAATGTGGCTATGTTTGGCTTATTTGTCAGAGCACATCAAATGTTTTGTTGCCTTAAGACTGTATTATTTTTCATGCTGTTGAAAGGTCCTTGAATGCACATTATGTAATTTTATATATGTGTGCATGTATTTTGAGATGCAGCGAATCATAACATCAATTTTGTAATTAAGTGCTTAATTTCTATGTGTATTTGCATAAGTATCTGTATCCTTCAGATATTGTCAGATGCTTCCGGAAGTGGAAAGCCCTGTAGGAGACAGTTGATCAGTGTTACATTTCTCGCTGTAGTTGTAACAATGTTGACTTTGCTTGTATATGGGAGCAACGTGTGTTGCTGGCCCTGCAACTTTGAAAGTGGTGTTAGTGCTTGTATATAAGGTGGTTTTTTTCTTGCCTGCTTTGAAAGTGTGCTAGTTATACAAAGTCTTGATATGAAGAAGTGTTCAGACTGATCATTAGGTTGTTTCTAAAGGCTGCAGCTTGATGATAAGGATTGATATTCATAATGACTCCTTTGTTAAACACAGTCATGGTCAAGTGATTTACCATTCAAAATCAGTTTCTTATGGACATTGTAATTTAATTATCTGTGCACATATGTCCAAATGAGATAATCAATGCTGTTCTCTTCTGCCTGCAGTCTCGAGAGACATTCAGCTGAATAGCCCTATATTTTGCTCCTGTTTCAAGTGTATTCTCCTTAAGAAATAATTGTTGCATTTATGATGGTAGCAATACAGGAAAGCTTGTGTTTCAGACTAGGCTTGTGCTTTTATTTCTGTCAGTTTGATTTATTATTACATCAATAACATGTTTATTGTAGTTGTTCAAAGGCTTGGAGTAGTATTTGGAAAATACCTAATATCACTCAAAAAATTATAGTATTTATATTACTGTATTGCACGTCACTAGAAAGTGATTTGCAGAAACAAATTTGAATGCAGTTTGTGTGTGATATTGTTGCTTGTCATTTTTCAAAGTAAAATAAGCTGATTTTTATATATAAAAAATATTCAAAACTCTTGTAATAAGCATTTGAAAATTGCTAAGAAACAATCTTTTGGGCCAAAAAATTGCTGTTTCTTTGTTCTCAGAAATTCCATTTGAGTTGTGCTTCGTAAGTATAGAAATGATTCATAATTGCTCCTTTCTTCTTACTCTTGCTTTTTTTAAAATTTATTTATTTTTTTTAGAGAACTTTTGGCATGTAGCCAACATAGCAGAAACACTCTAAGATCTGTCTTGCACTGCTGCCAAAATAGCAGCAGCTGTGCATTTAGCTCTGGGAAAGGCTGAAAGCTACCAAATCCATTTCAATGAGAAGAATTGAGCAGAAGTAGTCAGTGCAGATTTGCTTTCCTACTTTCCTTTCCATTATTACTTTCTTTTCTAGCTTCTTTCCGCACAATGTTACTTCTTCCTTATTCACTTATTTGGGTATAATATTCCTCTGTTAAGTGATACAGTTATTCTAGTGTATAAAAAGTTATACTTTAGGAAATGCTGAGATCATAACAAGGACTAGATGGTGAAAAAAGTCTAGATGTCGCTTGAGTGTTGGATTTTTCTTAGTTTGAAATTAGAAAGTTACACTCAAAGGCATTTATGGTTAGTGTGGCATTAATTTTGGTTACTTTTCTCTTTCTAAGCCAGACTGAGTTAAACTGAAAACCTTTCTTAAAAAGGCCTTCTTGCATTTGGGAGCCTGAGGAAACTAGCTTAAAATAGACCTTTTGAGTTCTAATAATTTAAGTGGAATGAATTTCACTTCATCTATAGACTAATTTTTTAGGACCAAAGGGCTGCATTTCTGAATATCAACCAGAAGCAGAAGGTAACAGCAGCCAGTGCCAAGCTGTAATTGTTAGCACAGGCAAAGAACAGTCTGATTGTTCATTCTACTTGTACGTAAATTGTATATAGTATATTTGGACCTGGCTTTCACTTGTTTATGTGCAGCAATTTTGATATTAAAAAGCCTTTCATGAAACAGACTTTTTCTTTAAATGCAGTGCATGTATGGAAATTTTGAATTTCTAGGCCTGTAAAGACATTTGTGCAGTGCCAGTGTGTCTGGATGTTGTCGCAAATGCATACGTAGTACTTAAATATATTTTTGTTCAGTCAAGAAATGTTTTAAACAGAGTGTATGACTAAAATACAGTGAACTTGTATTTCAGAAAGACTTACCTACAGAGTTCAGCAATGTAACTGAAGAATGTACTTCTAGTAGGATTCTAGTTTCTCCTAGTGAGTATCTATTATTTTCTTTTTAATTCACAACATATGCTAAATACTTCTTGCTGACCTTGATAAAATAATATTTTTAAGTAGACAATTGCAATTTAGTAACCTCTGACTTTAAATACATGCTGCAAATTAGAACTTAACTTGCTAGTCATTTCATGTTTATGATTTGTTCTTTAGAAGCCTTATTTACTGAAAGTTTTCAAAGCATTAAAGAAAATATGTAGTATTGTAATTAGTAGTCACAGATAACTACTAGAAATATTAAAGATGAAAATTTCATTCAGGCACTGTTGCTAAAGCTGTGAAAAACAATAGCATTACCTGCACTTTAAAGCAGTTATGTTTTAAAAATAAGATATTCGTAAGCACAAAGGGAATTATATTTATTGATGTGGGTTTGTTATAGTCAAAACTGTGTCACGTTTATGATGAGATTTTTTTACACTTATAATTGGGTTCAGGACAAAGCAGATCTTTTTTGTTCATAATTTGTGTTTTTCAAATCCCTGCTG